TTTTTGGCTTTCTTTCTCACAAAAGAAGAATCGTCGTCCATAGTTAGAGCAAGGTAAGAAGCGATGCTGTTTCGGAGACCGTAGCTAAGGCCGGAGTCTTCCAATCTGAGCATGTCTGCGATGTCGCCGTCACACTCCCTAGACCTTAGGAGAAAAGAAAGCAGCTTAAAACTTGCAAGATTAATGAGGGAGAATATTCACAGCTCAGGGCTGAACTGCAACTTCCTTGATGCTCTCTGAGCTGGGCAGTTTTCTTGCAGACGTTTCATTACCCAACGAGGTCATTGCATCAGTGTTAGAAAGAAGTGGGGTTTGCTCTCTGTTTATATACGAGTGGTTTGCCTTTGTAGATAAACAGGAAACAACACCCCAGCCAAGGAAGTGCCAACTCAGTAAACAACAACCTACTCAAGGGGGGAACAAGAATAATCCCTCCCAATATACGGCAAGCCACTTGTATATAAACAGAGAACAAACTCCATTCCCTTGTAGCATTGGTGATGGTACTTTTGCTTTACTTCCAGTATGAAACAGAGTGTACCTCAAATGTCTTATCTTAAACAAGGAGTACCTTTGCACATGATTCCACAAGGTTTTGTTGCGCATCACCACGGGGGGCTCTTGATTCCTCACATCGTGGATACTGGTGTGTTGAGTTAGACAAGGAGATGTGAGGATACAACACAGGCCATCAGCCACCTCTACAGATTGAAACAAAGGCAAAATGCATGCAAGTTGACCTCTTGTTTAGGCTACATTGATTGATACATTGCTGTTCAAACGACTGTGCAATACTATACATTTCAGAAGCGTTTATAGTCAAGATATATACCAAGATAAAAGTAAAGATTTCCCCCCTGTCCAGTTATGTCCAACTCAAGGGGGCAGTGCTCATCTCTGTTTCTTAGCTGAGGGAGCCAGTGTTGTCCAAAGACACTTCTGTGGTCATGTGGCCAGCATAACTAGGGGTCGAGGCAAATGGAACACTGTTACCTCCCCACCGAAGTGGTACCTATTAATACGTGAAGTGTTAATACCACTTTACAATGCCTTGGTAAGGCCACACTTGGAATACTGCATCCAGTTTTGGTCACCAGGATGTAAAAAAAGATGTTGAGACTCTAGAAAGAGTACAGAGAAGAGCAACAAAGATGATTAGGGGACTGGAGGCTAAAGCATATAAGGAACGGCTGCTGGAATTGGGGATGTCTAGTTTAATAAAGAGAAGGACGAGGGGAGACATGATAGCAGTCTTCCAATATCTCAGGGGCCGCCACAAAGAAGAGAGAGTCAAGCTATTCGCCAAAGCGCCTGAAGGCAGGACAAGAAGCAACGGATGGAAACTAATCAAGGAGAGAAGCAACCCAGAATTAAGGAGAAACTTCCTGACAGTGAGAACAATTAACCAGTGGAACAACCTGTCTCCAGAAGCGGTGAATGCTCCAACACTGGAAGTTTTTAAGAAGAGACTGGACAGCCATTTGTCCGAAATGGTATAGGGTTTCCTGCCTGAGCAGGGGGTTGGACTAGATGACCTCCAAGGTCCCTTCCAATTTTATTATTATTATTATTATTATTATTATTATTATTATTATTATTATTATTATTATTATTATTATTATTATTATTATTATTATTATTATCTAGTCACAGTTGCATGCTTTCAAATTGCTAGATGGGAGCTGGAGCAAGTAACGGGCACTCATCCTGTCACATGGTGCTGACCTCCTCAGCGTCTTTAACCCCTAAGCCATCATGCCACCCTCTCCCCTCAAGACATATATAACCATCTTTTCAAAATACTGCAAGCACTTCTGGCAAGCTGTCCGGTCTTGCATTTACCGAGTATTTTTGCGAATTAAAGTCAAATAAAGTCAGTTCCTGGAATTGCATCAACGCATCCATGCAGTTATCTTGCCAGCATTATGGGAATTATTTCCTTCCTTCCTTCCTTCAGTGTGTTTTTTTTTTTAACATCCCAATCTAGCCTGCAGCTTTGGCGTTTCCTGAATATCTCGCCACCAAATATTATCTAGGTTCAGTCCCGCTTAGTTTTCATTTCTTTTTAGATTAAGGCAGGTCAGCTAGGTATTGCTATTTCCTGGGACCACTCTAAAAGTATAATAATAATAATAATAATAATAATAATAATAATAATAATAATAATAATAATAATAATAATAATAATAATAATAATAAGTTGGAAGGGACAATGGAGGTCATCTAGCCCACCCCCCTGCTCAGGCAGGAAACCCTATACCATTTCAGACAAATGGCTGTCCAGTCTCTTCTTAAAGACTTCCAGTGTTGGAGCATTCAACCGCTTCTGGAGGCAGGTTGTTCCATTGGTTAATTGTTCTAACTGTCAGGAAGTTTCTCCTTAGTTCTAGGTTGCTTCTCTCCTTGGTTAGTTTCCACCCATTGCTTCTTGTCCTGCCTTCAGGTGCCTTGGAGAATAGCTTGACTCCCTCTTCTTTGGGGCAGCCCCTGAGATATTGGAATACTGCTATCATGTCCCCCCTCGTCCTTCTCTTCATTAAACTAGACATACCCAATTCCAGCAGCCATTCCTTATATGTTTTAGCCTCCAGTCCCCTGATCATCTTTGTTGCTCTTCTCTGTACTCTTTCTAGAGTCTCGACATCTTTTTTACATCGTGGTGATCAAAACTGGATGCAGTATTCCAAGTGTGGCTTTACCAAGGCATTGTAAAGTGGTATTAATACTTCACGTGATCTTGATTCTATCCCTCTGTTAATGCAGCCCAGCACTGTGTTGGCTTTTTTGGTAATTGCAGCACACTGCTGGCTCATATTTAGATGATTGTCCACTAGGACTCCGAGATCCCTCTCACAGTTACTACTATTGAGCAAGGTACCCCCTATACTATATCTGTGCATTTACCTGTACAAGTAGAAGTAATAAGTAGCACCAGTCCTTTGTCTCTTATACCTGGGGATTTTAATATTTGGAATTTGGAAGCAAAACAAGTGGTTTTTTATTATATTGATGTATTTATTATATTAACAACCCAGTTTCACTTTGCAATATGGGCAGCCCTATAAATTTAGTAAAATGATAATGTTGGCTGTTTAGTATTGATTTGATTTCTGTTACAAAAAAAAAAATGCCACACCAGGGAAGGTAGCTTTGAAAGCTGCTGATATCAAGAATGTTGCTAAGACACTATTTATTTACCCAAAAGGAAAAGGAAAAGGGTGGCCATTCTTGAGCTTAACATTTGACACTAAATTCTTAAATTAACCTAGAAATGAGTAAAGGTAAAGAAGTGAAAAACGTAGCAAATACAGTATAGGACATTTATTTATCTCTGTTTCTATATATATAGTTCTCCAGTGAGAAATATTTTTTTAAAAAGCTATTTTGAGGGGAAAATATACCATAGAGGTAGACCTCAACTTAGGATGACAATTGAGCCCAAAATTTTCTGTTGATAAGCGAGACATTTGTTAAGTGAGTTTTGCCCCATTTTACAACTTTTTTCGCCTTCATTTAACCTTTGTTAAATGAAGCACTGGAGTGGTTAAGTTAGTAACATGGTTGTTAAGTGAATCTGGCTTCTCCATTGACTTTGATTGTCAAAAGATCGCAAAAGGGGATCACGTGACCCCGGGCACTGCAACCGTCATAAGTACGAGTTAGTTGCCAAGCATCTGAATTTTGATCACGTGACCATGGGGATGCTGCAACAGTCGAAAGTGTGAAAAGAGGTTGTAGGTCACTTTTTAAAGTGTCATTGTAACTCTGAACAGTCACTAAATGAACTGTTGTAAATCGAGGACTACGTGTATTTCAAAATATATTTCAGTTGCAGGAATTGGATACGGTCAGTCTAGAGAAAAGAAAGACAAGGGGGGATATGATAGCAGTATTCCAGTATTTGAGGGGCTGCTACAAAGAAGAGGGGGTCAACCTATTTTCCAAAGCACCAGAAGGCAAGACAAGAAACAATGGATGGAAACTAGTCCAGGAGAGAAGCAACTTGGAATTAAGTAGAAACTTTTTAACAGTGAGGACAATTAACCAGTGGAACAGCTTGCCACCAGAAGTTGTGGGTGCTTCATCACTGGAGGTTTTTAAGAAAAGACTGGACAACCCTTTGTCTGAAATGATATAGGGTCTCCTGCTTGAGCAGGGGGTTGGACTATAAGACCTCCAAGGTCCCTTCTAGCTCTATTCTGATTGAAGGAGTAGATTTTAAACTCTTTATATTTAAAGTCAAATCCATCACTAAAATAACGGGAGGCACATTTAAAATAAAAGCAGATGTAGGAAATAAAACGGATGATAAGCAGATGCAAAAAAGGAACGATAACTCCAGGCTTCACAATGTGCCTTAGGACTGGGCATTCATCTCTAATATTTGCAGGAAAACCTCTGGACTATTTAAAGTGCACAATGAAATTATCTGCAACACTGAAGATTAACGGCTATAGTTTTAGCAGCCCCTCCAGTGCTACAAGGAGGGATAAATGCGTTTTCTTTTCTTTTCTTTTCTTTTCCCTAATATCGTTTTATTTTAAGCACACCTGCAAAGAGGAGGATATTGTTTCCATTAAGTTAAAAAAAACAACAACCCCCAAAGCTTCACATAATTTCCAAATGACGGGTTTCATGTACACATTTGAATCCACTCAGTTTAGGTAATGAGTTTGTTAGGGCGAGTATGGAAAAAAGCTAGCTGTGCAAAACTGGCTGAGGCTAAAATTAGTTGTTGGTTATCATATGACTTCCACTTTCACATCCTCTATTTTCAGTGGTTTTTTTAAAAAAAAAAGCAAAATGTTTTGAGATGAGTGGTGGGGAAAGAGATTAGTATGACATCACTGGACAACTGATGTTTCTAATCCACTGAAGCGGTCTAAAATATAAGCACGGAGAACTGATATTTACCTACCACTGGGTGTAAAACTGTGCTTCCTTTTCTTTGATGTGAATCCTCAGCTGGCATGGTTTGTGAGAAGTGGCGTGGTTGTTAGAGAAGTTGTGGCTTCACACCATTGGAAATGCATGAGATATTCACATTAATTAGAACATAGAATAATAGAATTGGAAGGGACCTTGAAGATCTTCTAGTCCAAACACCTACTCGAGCAGGGGACACTATATCACAGTGTTTCTCAACCTTGACAATTTTAAGACATGTGGACTTCAACTCCCAGAATTCCACAGCCAGCAAAGGTTGAGAAACACTGCTATATCATTTCAGACAAATGGTTGTCCAATCTCTTTTTGAAAACCTCCAGTGATGGAGTGGAGCACCCACCATTTCTGAAGGCAAGCTGTTCCATTAGCTGATTGCTTTTACCGTTAGGAAATTTCTTCTTAGTTCTAGATTGCTTCTCTCCTTGGTTATTTTTCATGCATTGTTTCTTGTCTTGCCTTTTGGTGCTTTGGAAAATATTTCAACCTTCTCATCTTTGTAGGCATCCCTCAAATATTGGAACCCTGTTACCATGTCTAGTCCATCTTTTCATTAGACTAGACAGACCAACCATTCTTCATATGTTTTAGCCTCCAGTTCTCTAATCATCTTTGTTGCTTTTCTCTGCACTCTTTCCAGAGTCTCAACATCTTTTTTGTATTCTGGTGACCAGAACTGGATGCAGTATTCCAAGGGTGGTCTTACTAAGTGTTTGTAAAGCAGTACTAGAACTTCACGTGATCTTGATTCTATCCCTCTATGAATGCAGCCTAGGATTGTGTCGACTTTTTTGGGGGGGCTGCCGTTGGACACTGCTGGCTCATATTTAAGTGATTGTCCACTAGGACTCTGAGATCCTTCTCACAGTTATTGGAATTGAGCCATGTTTCACCTAGCCCCGGGGTAGGCAACTTTGGCTCTTTTATGACTTGTGGACTTCAATTCCCAGAATTCCTGAGCCAGCATGGCTCAGCTTGGAAACCTCTCCCTTTCCCCTCAGCATGGCTGGCTCAGGAATTCTGGGAGTTGAAGTCCACGAGTCATAAAAGAGCCAAGGTTGCCTACCCCTGACCTAGCCCTATACCTGTACAATTGGTTTTTCTTGCCTAAGTGTAGAAGTAGTGCAAATCTTAATATAGTCCTTAATCTTTGGCTGCTCTATGGAAGTTTTCACTTGATCTTTCTTTTGTTCTGAGCTGTTGAACGTTCCTGCACGGAGCTGGTTGTGTCTTCTGACTGTGTGCAAGAATGCTAAAACTATTATAAATAATCTCAGTTGATAAGGACAATGTAGGAAAAATTATGGCCCGTTTGTACTTTTTATGGCATTTATTACTGTGGCTGTTTAGATTTTTGTCTGTTTTTGTATCGATTGCTTTGTCTGTTGCTTGGCAACATCCAGAGTAGCCTTGGAGAGATGGACGGCTATATCAGTTTGATTAATAATAAATAAATTGTTGCCATAGCACAGTCTTAATGTGTGTTCAGAGAGCATATTAGTGGAAATGCTTTTCCGCTTTACAGGTTGTAAGTAATTTTTCCTGAGGCCATTGTATGATGCGTGCACTGCTTTAAACTACAGTGTATTTTGACGTAGTGGTTGGCTTCACAGGGCATACTAGACTTGCTAACCTGATGATGGGTAGTTTGGGGGTGAACATAATGTGAGAATCATGTTATTGCCTTGGAACAGGGGTAGGCAACCTTGGCTCTTTTATGACTCGTGGACTTCAACTCCCAGAATTCCTGAGCCAGCATGGCTCAGCTTGGAAACCTCTCCCTTTCCCCTCAGCATGGCTGGCTCAGGAATTCTGGGAGTTGAAATCCACCAGTCATAAAAGAGCCAAGGTTGCCTAACCCTGCCTTAGAACGTTCTATGAACCAGGCCAACAAGTTAAGCCATGAAACTGGGCATAGCCATTTTCTTAATCCATGACTTTGCACAAGGCATTCATTTCCACACTCTCAGAATGACCAAACATTGCACGGACAGAAAGGACAAATCCTAGCCAGGATAACTTGACAAGTTGCGTTTCTGATCTTGGAAAAGAAGGTGATCGGAGCTTTCTCTTACCAGAATAGTGGTTTACGAGGTCCTCAAGACACTGAAACGTTTGCCGAGGCGAAATGTAATACCAATTGTTTGGCAAGCGGAAGATTCTGTAATGCTTCACGTTCACGTGCCGGACTGACAGTGAATAAAAACCTGGAGGGAAAGTAAAGTTGCTGTAATAAGAGTCACGATTTAGATTAGGCAGTCTAGCCAGTGATGAGGATTGCAGCCCAAGAGCATAGAACAGTGATGGCGAACCTTTTAGAGACCGAGTGCCCAAACTGCAACCCAAAACCCACTTATGCATCGTCGGGTGCCGGGTGGGTGTGGCCCATTGGGTGGGTGTGGCCCATTGGGTGGGCGTGGCTGCGGTGGTAACGGCAGACTGGGTGGGGCTAAAAAGTTCAATCAATCAATTCCAACTTTGCAAGATCTTTTTTTTTCCCGCGAGAAATTGAAATTGACCGATTGGTTGAACCTCTTTTTTTTGCACATGGCGGCGGAGGCCTAAAGCAAAAAGGTTTTATAAAACCCAGCTGAAGGCCTAGGACTGGGGCGACGGCGCACGTGCCCACAGAGAGGGCTCTGAGAGCCGCCTCTGGCACCCGTGCCATAGGTTCACCACCACTGGCATAGAAAGAGTCACTCATTCCTCACCCTGGTTTATGAGAAAATAGACCAGTGTTTCCTAACCGGCTTTTGCTTACCATTTGTTGTTTCGCTTTTTCTAATCATGAAAGAGCCAGTTTTGTTATTGGGAAGGAGCAGAAGTTCTTCAGCTTTTTCTCTGCCGATACCTTCAAATAACCAGCTGCAGGAAAAACAAAGGAGAAATAAGTCAAGGTTTATGTAGGAAAAACAGAAGCGTAGTGCACAATGAGTTTGGGAAGGCTGATTACTGTGTCTTTGGAAATAATAATAATAATAATAATAATAACAACAACAACAACAACAACAACAATAATAATAGTAATGAAGTTGGAAGGGACCCTGGAGGTCATTTAGTCCAACCCCCTGCTGAGGCAGGAAGCCCTACACCATTTCGGACAGATGGCTGTCCAGTCGCTTCTTAAAAACTTCCAGTGTTGGAGCATTCACCGCTTCTGCAGGCAGGTTGTTCCCCTGGTTAATTGTTCTAACTGTCAGGAAGTTTCTCCTTAGTTCTAGGTTGCTTCTCTCCTTGATGAGTTTCCATCCGTTGCTTCTTGTCCTGCCTTCAGGTGCTTTTTATTTTACACATCTGGATTTTCCAGCCAGTTCCCGATTGCAAGTTATTGCAGAGTGGGAAATGTAATTGATGGACATATCGTATAAATATGAGTACATAAATGGGCATTTTCAACAGCATAGATACACATAATGAAATTCCTTACCCGTGGAAAACTCTGGCAACACAATTTTCCGGAATGTAATGTTCTTTTCCAGTAGTCAGTGAGCAAGCTTTCCACCAGACACCCTCGCTGAAAAAGTGAAAAGAGGAAGCTGCTGTCAAAGCCATGGTGAAAACAGTCTAGAATTAGAATTAATCTCACTGGAAAGTGAATATTTGAAGTGTGGGGTCCTTTGTGTTCTCATAGCATTAAAAAGGATCTTGAAGGTCTTCTAGCCCCAGAAGGTAGAGGTAGAATATATCCTGGAATTTGAGGTGGGTTTTTTTTTCCCTGGAAAACGTATCTAGTTACCTTAAAATGACCAAGACAGACCCATTATCTCACAGTATTTATGAGATAAAAATCAAGGGATTTTTATAATAATAATAATAATAATAATAATAATAATAATAATAATGATGATGATGATGATGATGATGATGATGATGATGATGATGATGATGATGATGTTGGAAGGGACCTTGGAGGTCATCTAGTCCAACCCCAATTGGTGCAAGGGTCTAAACTGAAATGTCAAATAAGTTGAAAACGTTCAATAAATTGTGTCTAAAAGGATTTCCATGCCTGACTGAAAGCAGTCCACTTTACCTTGGAAAGGGTGTATACATATCATGTTTAGGCTCAGATTTAAAGAAAGTACTCATGGGAGGAACATGCTAATTTTAGCTGATTCCTAAACTGGGCTTTCACACATTAGTTACCGTTTGAGTGTTTTGACCCCATAATGCCATCATGGAATTATATGAGCGGGCACTTAAAATCGATGGATCCCATTTCTGTATAATTTCCTCATAGGAAACAATTATTTGGCCTGGTGTCCTACAATATAGAATAGAATAGAATAGAATAGAATAGAGTAGAGTAGAGTAGAGTAGAGTAGAGTAGAGTAGAGTAGAGTAGAGTAGAGTAGAGTAGAGTAGAGTAGAGTAGAGTGGAGTGGAGTGGAGTGGAGTGGAGTGGAGCGGAGCGGAGCGGAGCAGAGTAGAGTAGAGTAGAGTAGAATAGAGTAGAACTGGAAGGGACCTTGGAGGTCTTCTAGTCCAGCCCCCTGCTCATGCAGGAGAACCTATACCAGGGGTAGGCAACCTTGGCTCTTTTATGACTCGTGGACTTCAACTCCCAGAATTCCTGATCCAGCCATGCTGAGGGGAAAGAGAAGTTTCCAAGCTGAGCCATGCTGGCTCAGGAGTTCTGGGAGTTGAAGTCCACGAGTCATAAAAGAGCCAAGGTTGCCTACCCCTGACCTATACCATTTAAAAACCTCTAGTGATGGAGTGCCCACGATTTCTGAAGGCAAGCCGTTCCATTGGTTGATTGTTCTCACTGTTAGGAAGTTTCACCTTAATTCCAAATTGCTTCTCTCTTTGGTCAGTTTCCAACCATCGTTTCTTGTCCTGCCTTCAGATGCTTTGGAGAATAGTTTGACCCCCTCATCTTTGTGGCAGCCCCTCAAATACTGGAGTAATGCTATCATGTCACCCCTCGTCCTTCTCTTCATTAGACTAGCCAAACCCAAATCCTGCAGCCGTTCTTCATATGTTTTAGTCACCAGGCCTTTGATCATTTTAGTTGCTCTTCTCTGAACTTCTTCCAAAGAGAGACACGGCTCTTTGCATATTCTGCAAGCTCTCATGACATTTGTGTACGTGCCCGGCAGTGTCATAACAGGAAGAGGAAAGTTCCATCCAATCTCAACTGTCACACTTGTCAGTTGTGAGCTCAGAGGTACACCAAAGGTACACTGCAAGAAAATTGTTTATTTTTGGCCCGGTTTCGAAAAACAAAATTGTCCATCATCAGCGCGCCTAGTCACCTGCTTTGAAACGCCCGAGCGGAGGCAAACAGGTGCTTTCTTGGCAATTTACACAAGGGTGACGATGGGCTGCTTGTTTCCTATTTGCACACACACACACACAAAAGCTGATTTTCACTCTTTCATCTTTGTGGTTTTCTTTTGTTTTTTAAGGTAGAAGAGAAGAGGAGGAACGTTGGTTGGAAATAACACATAGGCATTTTCGTTTGTGATGTTAGGAAAGAAAAAAAAAATCATTCTTGATTCTCAATAATCTAGAGCCCAGGGAATCTTTATGGGTTTTCCATACAATGTATGGTTTATTTCCTTATATATTTCCTTATGTATATATTTCCTTCAGGTGACGTCTGTGGAATATACAGGTAGTCCTTGATTTACCCTAAAACTGGGAGTGGATTTTAGTTGTAAGACGTAACAGTATTAAATTTGGACACCCGTGTGACCGGATTGGATTTTTATGGCCATTTTTACAGCGGTTGTTATGCAGTCATAAGTTTGAATCCATTCTCCTGAATGAGCATTTTTTTTGCTGTAAACTTTGCAGATCACAGTCACGTGATTGTGAGGTGTTGTGAATGGTGGCCTAATTTTGTCCATTTCTATCACATCCCCACCAATCAGTCAAGGATAAAGATACTTTTGCAATAACTTCGCATGACAAAAATTATTGGCTCCCTCCCACCTCTCTTAGCTCCTACCAAATTATATCAGAAATTATGCTGCTGTAATTCTTGAGTTCAAAAAAAAAATACTCTTTCCAATTATTTGTTAGGTTTATAGGCAAATAACAGAAGTGGAATAAAATTTACCTTTAACTGTATTAAAATGATATGGAAGAATATTAAAATTGCATTTACAAAAATCTTAACCTTTATTGAGTGGGGGAGGATTTTGCCACCTGTTCTTGGTGGGGATGGATAGAGGTTTTCTTTAAGGTTTAAGAAACCTTTAAATAGTTAAGAAATTTATTCCTCCAAAGATAATATCTGCTCTAAAAATATATACCCCAACGTAGCCAAACCATGTAAGAACAAATGCAAATGGCAACACAACTTTTATAACCTAAAAGAAGAAGAAATTGCATACTTACTCTGATATCACACGTAGTTTCTCCCCAACTTGAAATATAGGCTGGCTTATATCCGGCGTGGGATAGTCATGCAGAACAGCAAGAAAATCACTTCTCTGGCCTGCAAAATCAATCAATATCATTAAGTTGCATTAAAGGAGACTGCATTTGTAGAGAACATTGTCTTGAGCTGTTAAGTTATAATCACAAAATAGCAAGCTGATTTTATTAGATAGCGTAAGTGGCACATTGTTACCTTGCTTAGGGGATAAGATTAAATTTAGATTTAAAAATAGCGCCACAGGAAATGAAAACTGGAAGGCAGAAAAATCAAGATCATCTTCCCATTCAGCGAAGACATTCTGGTTTGACTTTAGCCACTATTATTAATACAGAAAGAAAAGAAAAAAAGAAAAGAAAAGAAAGGGAAGAGAAAGGAAAGGAAAGGAAAGACAGAAAAGAAAGAAAGAAAGGGAAGAGAAAGGAAAGGAAAGACAGAAAAGAAAGAAAGAAAGAAAGAAAAGAAAGAGAGAGAGAGAGAGAAAGAAAAAAGAAAGAAAGGAAGGAAGGAAATCATAAGGAGAAAAAAAAGAGAATTATAGCACTGCCTTCCTTTGTGATGATAAAGTGAGAAAAGAATTGGGAGCAGGGCTTTGCTTACAGATCTTTGGATTTCATGCTTGGTATCCTTGCTGAAAAATATGAGAAGGGCTGGAAAGAGATCTCAGACCAGACCAGACCAGATGGAGATACCAGATCAGATGGAGATACAAGGGTCCATATATGAGACCTATCCTGTCTCAGAAGTATCATAAGAACTTGGCAAGTAGAAGGTATGGAGTACTGTTCTCGGCATCCCAAATGTTTATTAGTTGTTAAGGTTGGAGAAGGTGGACTTCTGGGGCTAAATATCAGGATAACTACTAGAGATCATTACAGATAACATATGAAAGATGGCAGGAGGTCTAAACTGGTGCCAGTTTGGCTTCACGTAAAACATTTTATGGTGTTTTATTACTCTGACAAAAGCTAAACCTTGGTTGAGCTTGCCTTCCAATGTCTCCACTTATCTACTGCCGTTGTTGAGGAAGTTCAGCCACCTCACAGTTCTAAACCATCTTCCTGTTGCATGTATGGGATCAGATCTTGAGTAACAACAACAGGAAGTATTCTGCTTGTAGATTACTCAGGGACATTTGGCTGTCTCCTGAAGTTCTAGAAAAGAGGCCCCCATCCTAATTAAGGGCCAAGAATTGATGCTTTTTTGGTAAGTGACTATATAACCGGCCTTAATTCATAGTTCAACCCAGTTATACTCATTTCTCCCATGTCCTTGCAGGAAAGAGTCTAAGGGAATAATTGCTCGGTTCTTTGCAATGGTTAAAATTGTTCCCTCTTTGTTCACCTCTCTTGAGTCTTACCCACTAATATTTTCCCCGTAGTGACCCAACTTCAGGATTTGTTGAAGACTCCTCGTGGATCAGTTTTGCATATACACAGGAGTCATCAACCAGAGAACTGAATTGGCTATTAGCAACTTTGTCCTTGATTAAAACAAGAAAATTGATAAGTGCAAAAGGCAGAAGAAGCAACTTGAAAGGTGCGACATGTTGAAAGAAAGTTGGCATTGACATTTTATCAAGAAAAATGCCAGGCACGAAGAAGAAGAAGAAGAAGAAGAAGAAGAAGAAGAAGAAGAAGAAGAAGAAGAAGAAGAAGAAGAAGAAGAAGAAGAAGAAGAAGAAGAAGAAGAAGAAGAAGAAGAAGAAGAAGAAGAAGAAGAAGAAGAAGAAGAAGAAGAAGAAGAAGAAGAAGAAGAAGAAGAAGAAGAAGAAGAAGAAGAAGAAGAAGAAG